CCCTCCACCTCCCTCCCACACACCCCGGCAGGCTCCCCCTCCAAGGACCTGCCTGAATCTCGCCGGAGCCACCGAGCAGCTCGGACTCGGTCTCCCCCGCGCCAGCTTCCTTACGGCGCCGGAGCAGCCCCCCTCCCCGTCCCCGCGGCCGCACCCCCGTGCAGCCCTCCGCTCACCCCCTCCCCTCTCCCCCCTGCTCGGAGAGGACCGTCACGCTGACTTCCTCGGCCGTCCGCTCGCTTCGCGCACGCAGCGCCCGCCGCTCCTGGCCCCGTGGCAACCTGTCACCTCGGAGTACCGGCCCTTCCCTCCAGTCCGAGAGTACCCAGTCCCGCAGTCGCTTCTGCCGCCGGTCACAGCCGAATCTCGCCCTCCGCGTTCGGGCGTCCGTTCAGCGCCCGCCACTCAGTCTCACTCGCGCCGGCCACCTCTGCTCCACCGGGTTCCTCCCGGCTGCCCGTCGTCGTCGCCGCCTGTCAACACCGGACGCCCCCGCCGTCGCCGCCGCCACCACCACCACGACGTCGCTCGCCGCCGCCGCCGCCGCCACCCCCCGCCGTACGGCCTACGCCGTGACTCTCTCCCGTCGCGCTCGCCGCCTGAGCAGCGTCGCCTCGCTGAGCTAAACGCCCGCGCCCGCGCGTGTGTGCCCTCCTCCTGGCATGATACTTGGCCAGTTTCTCTCCTCGGGTCATGGTGCGTTGTCGGTGTCCTCGGCCCCCGGCCCCGAGGGCCGGGCAGGGGGGGGGGGGGGGGGGGGGACTCCGGGCACGTAGGGGAGGCAGGGGGGGGGGGGGGGGGAGGGCGCAGACCGAGACACCGAGGGACCGTGCTCCTGTTGGTGATTTGCGTACGACCATGTGTCGGAACCCGTGCCTAACCCTGGCCCACCGCATGTTGTCGCTCTCCTCCGGCCGCGGGCCCTGTCTCCCAGGCGACCCGGAGGGCTATATACGTGGTCGCCTTGACAATCATGTATCCAGCCCTGTGCTGGATGTTGTCAAGGCATTCCTTGGGCCTCGTCCGACCGATGGCTCATCCCTCGCGTCGGGGGCCGCCGCCACTGCCGGCCCCCGCCACGGCTCGGTCAGCATCAGTGGTGCGTCCCTCCGCAGGATAACCCGCGCCCAGGGCAAAGCCCATGGCTGCCCCGTCGCCTCGCCGATTGCCGGGCTCTGACCCATCTGCCCGCTGATCCTCGCCATCGTCCTGTCTCCCTGCTCCCTGGCAATGCATCCCATGCGCGCGCGCGCGCGCGCACGCACGCACGCAGGCGTCCCTCTGGGCCAGCCGGATGTCGATTTGCTGGCCAATCTCCTGTCCGGTCCGCACCGTGTCGGCTCCATCGACCTCACCGGTACGTGCCCTTCTGGCAATGCGGTGGGAGCACCACGCCCTCTGCCGCTCCTCTCTCTCTCTCTCCCTCCCTCCCCCCTGTGTTGCTTCTGCGGGGAGGGGGGGGGGAGTGCCCATGCATCGTCTAACAGCATGTGGCTCGTGTTCAGGCAATCTCATCGGCGATCAGGGTGCCTGCAGCATTGCCACCGCCTTGCGGGAGTGCACCTCCGTGACTGAGGTCACTCTGGCTGGGCAGTGCATCACCTCGCAGGGGGCCTTGGCATTGGCCGAGGCGCTTGCTGGGGACCTGTCCGACCCGGCCGCGGCTACTGCCACCAGTACCGTGAGGGATCCCTCCTGCTGCCCATCCCATCGGGCTTTCGGCCATCATCACCCGGCATCGATGGCCCCGCCGGACTATGACGAGGTGATGCGCCTGGCTCTTGGGTCTCGGCGGCGCCCGGAGGAGTATCTCACCATCCATCGGCACTTTGCTGGCAAGGTGACCCCGATGACCTGTGGTGCTGAGCGCCAGGCCGAGCCTACCTTCGCCGCCTCCTGCCGGCCGACACGGAACCTCTCCGTTCGGTCGCTGGCCCTTCCTCACAATATGCTGGGTGACATGGGAGCTCTGCAGCTGGCGGCGGCGCTGCTCCGCGGAGCGGTTGTCGAGCACCTTGACCTCTCGGACAACGGCATTTCCTGCGTGGGCCTGCAGGCTCTGGCCATCGCCCTGCAGCGTGGCGCCCAGTTGAAGTCTCTGCAGCTGGACTGTGCGTGTAGAGCATGCTGGGCCTTTCTCTGCTCCCTCTTTCCCTTTCCGGGCCCGTGCAAATCCGCACATGCAAGTGGCCGGCTTTACTGACAGCGGACGTCCCAGTCAATCGCATTGCTTCGGAAGGCGTCATTTTGCTGCTCGGCGCTTTGAAGGAGAACACTTCTCTCGAGTCTCTGTCTCTTCGAGGTATGTGTCCATCCATACACACACACACACACACACACGCACGCACGCACGCACGCACGCACGCACGCATGCACACATCCATGCATCTATAAAGAGGTTCTTTGGTATGCGCCTGTATGAATGCTCCGGGGCTTCGCGATGGAGACCGAGGATCGGGCCTTTTCATGCGCATGCATCCTTTGCTTGATCTCCCGACCCGGCCCCTGACCTGCATCTGCCTCCCTTGTTGGATCCATCCGCCCGGGCCGCCAGGCAACCAGATCGATGAGGATATCCTCCCGCACCTTGCCGAGGTCCTCGCCCAGAACTCCACCCTTCATACTATTGACCTTTCCTGTGCGTTTTTTTTTCCCCCTGCGCTCCGATCGAGCCCCTCCCTCAGGGGTTCCTTTTCTCCCCCCGCCAGACACACAAATGGCCATCAGACAACTTACATGCCCTCCTTGCGTGTGCCGGGACGATGGTGTCGATGCACCTTAGCAAACGTCTTCTCTTGGCCGATCGACAGTGATGGCCCAGATGTCTCTTCTTCTGCCGAGGATGATTCGAGGGCCATGAACGGGTCCCCCGAGGCTGTTCGTCGTGCTCTGGTGAACTCCCTTGATGCAAACACAACGTTGCGGTGTTTGCACATGTAACGAGGGCGGAAAGGCCGGCGGGTGAGGGGGGCGGTGTGTCTGCCGACTGCTGTATCTCCCTCCCTCCTTCCCATGTTTTTTTTTTTTCTGGGCGGGGGACCTCTCGGCTGCATGCAAGCCCGGATAAAGTATCTTGTTTCTTTTCCTCAGCGACTTCCCCCTTCGCTTGGGCAACCAATAATGTTCTATTTGTGCTGAGATCGGGGCCGGGGACGGCGGACCAGGTGGGCGGCGGACCAGGTGGGCGGCAACCGAGCGACGGTGGAAGGCAGGCGCGGAGCGGGCCTGCCATCCTTGGTGTGCGGCGACCCGATGCCCGGCGTGGGTGCGTGCGTGCGTGTGTGCATGAACGCCTGGGACCCGAGGGGGATGGGGCGGCGGTCGGAGGCGAGGCAATTGTGGAAGGGCGATCCGTACCGTGTGATGCTGTCACGGGTTCCTGAAAGTGGTGCTCCCCTCACCAATAGCGCACACTGGTGATAGCGCTTTTCCGGGCGGCTCTGGCGCCGCGCGCGCCAATGTCGTGCAAGTGATCCGGCCAATGCTTCGTGACCGGAGCAGGAATGCGGGCTTCGCATTTTCGCCATCCATATCTCTCTCCCGGCTGCAAGTCTGAAGGCGTCTGCAATGCCGGTGACCCTCGGAGAGGAGGACCTATGAAGGTGTAGCGGGGCTCGGGGGGGGGGGGGGGGGGGGGGGGGGTTTTGGTCCCTCCCCCCGGGGGGGGGGGGGGGGGGGGGGGCCGGCCGGGAGACCGACAAAGGGAAGGCACCTGGGGGGGGGGCGCGCAGAGCCAGGGGGGGGCGGCGGCCCCGGCTCTCATCCGGGCCCGGCAGGGTCCCCCCCCCCCCCCCCGCCCGGCCCGGCCCGGCCCCGGGGCCGGGAGAAGTTGGCACATTGGGACCGGGCCGACCGTGGCCCGGGGGGCCCAGGGCATGACTGGACGAGGGCCCCGGATGTGGCGGAGGAAGGTGTGCCGATCGGCCGGGCGCAGCAGTGCGCGACGTTGAGCAGAGACATTCACACGCCATGGGGGGGGGGGGCTGAGCAGCAGGGGGGAGGCGGGGCGCGCGCAGCAGCAACAGCAGCGGCATCTTCTACAAGGCAGGAAGTGTCGGCCCCAGGGCCCGGGCCCCTTCTTCCCCATCGCCTGGCGGCTCCGCCCTCTTGGGGGCCCCGCGGGTCGGGTGACGGGGCGGTGGGGTGCCCCGGGGGGGGGGGGGGGGGGGGGAGGGACGGCAGCGGCGGCGGCGGCGGCGGCGGCGGCGGCGGCGGCGGCGGCGGCGGCGGCGGCGGCGGCGACGAGGCGGCGTTGGTGTGGGCGAGGGAACATTCACGTCCGCTCCAATAAATTGTCGGCCCATGTGCGTGAGCCCCCCCCCGCCTCGCCCCCACCGGGCTCGGGCCGGCCCCGGCAGGAGGGGGCCGCCGGGGGGGGGCCAGGGGGACACGCTCGCATGGGGGCTCACAGGTCAGCGCGTGCGCGTGCCTGCAGCAGCACATGCGTGAGAGCTCCCATGGGCCGTGCACCGAACACCGAGCATCTCCGGAGGGTACACACCTCCAGATGGTCTGGAACAGCGCAGGCGGTGCGGAGGTTCATTCTGCCTGGCGGCTTCTCGGCGCGGCCGGGCGCGCGGGCCGGGGACCGACGCACCGGCGCGGGGGGCCCCCCTGCGCGCAGGCTGTACGATGGCAACTGCTTCCACAGGGGGGGGGGGGCGGGGCGAGGAGGAAGTCCCCTCCACAGCGCATGCGCACCTCGAAATGCTCCACCCTCCCCCCTACACTCTCGCTCCGGGCAGGAGAGACCGCCCTTGGTGGGAACGGGGGGAGGGCGCAGACGCCGGATGAGCCATATTATTATAAGAATAAATTATATATTTATTGTGCTCTGCATATTGTTCGCGTTGGGCCGGCAATTGCTGTCGGGCCCGACGGCATACCCGGGCGGCGTGTCCCTACAAATGCCCATCACGCCCCGGGCCGGGTGGGGTGGCTAACCCCCTCCCCCTCCCCCCCCCCCGCCCCTCCCTGTGTGCCTTCCCCAGCATGAGCGCTTTCGGCTCCTTCGGGCCTGGGCATTTGTCTCTTCTGCTGCCCTTCCGACCGGGTTGGGTGCGGATAAGGCTGTACGGTTCACTTCTGTCGACGGGAGTGCCTGGGGGGGCCCACGCCCTCCGATGGGCACACCGGCACCCCCGAGCAGGCCGACAGCCTTGGGCTTTCTCGTGCTTCTCGAAAGGGCGGTGGCCAGCTGGCTCCCTCGGGACACCGAGCCCGGGGCGGTGTCCCCTCTTTGTCCCCCCTTTCGGAGGGGGGCCGGCGTGAGCCGAAACTCCCGCCCGGGACGATGGACGGATGCGGCGCTTAGGCTGGTCACTGGTGTTGTTGTCTGCACCCAGTGCCGGCCGGCTGGCCGGGGGGGGGGGAGCGGGGGATTGTGACCAGGCGGGCATCCGCGTGTCTTGGAGCCGGGCCGAGGGGCCGCCGCCCCGGGGGCGAGATGCGGAATAAAAAAAACACACAGGCCTCCCGCCCAAGAAGCTGGTCCTGCTTCTGGAAGACAGAAACAGGGGCACAAAGTGTTTCGTTCCGCTGCCAGGGGGCTGGTAGGGGGGGGGGGCCTTCCCCGGCTCCGGCGTCCGGACGCATCGCCGCTCGGAGGGGAACACCGGCCCCGGGGCGTGTTCGGGATCCGGAAGGAGGCACGCGCGTGCGCGCCGCCGGGCCGCCGGCGCAGGACGTGGCCTTGCAGCCAACTGCCCGGGAGACTGGGGCTAAACTCGCCCGGCGCGACACGCACCACTGTCATCCCCCCGCCCGGGGGAGAAGCACCTTGCGGGGGGGGGGGAGTTGCGCTTCTTGGTGGCGCGGCTGCCACCTTCCTCGCTGGGCGTCCCTTTCGGGGCCACCGGCCCCCTGCACCCTCATCGCCTGTGGACGGGCTCGGGCCGGGGGGCGGGGGGGGGCACATCCTCGTTCGCGCACCACACATGTGTGCATGCGTGCCGTTCCCCCCTGCGGCCTGCTCGTGCCTGATCCTTTACACGCCCGCCTGGGCGAAGGCCGCCCGCCCCCCCCGGACTGGGGGCCATTTATGCCGAGGGAAGCACGCGCCGCGCCGCCGCCCCCCCCCCCCCGCCGCGCCCGGCGTCTCCCTTGTCGCCCAGAGATTGGAGGAGACTGCCGCGGGGGATGCGCCCGACCTTGCGGCTCGGCTCATGCTGGCCGGGCCTCCCCGTCTGAGCCGCACACACGCGCGCGTGCGCGCGCGCACTGGGTAGATCGGACCCGACGCCGCGGCCGGCGTGCCATTGCGAGCCACCGGCAAGAATGCGCGCCCGATGGGGCGGCGGCGTCCTGCCTCCGGGTTTCTAGGCACGGCCGCAGCCGAGGGTACCACCGGGGCGGGCCGTCGGAGGAATTCTCGCGACAGGGCAGCTCTCATCGGCCTGGCGTGCGTGCCCTTCCCCCGGGTCCCGCATTCTCCCGTGTTTCGGAGCATCGCGCGCGCGCGCGCACAGGCCCGAGGGGGGCTGGCCCCGCGGCCTCCGCCCGGGGGAGGAAGGCAAAGGCATGGCCCTGCCCCTCGGCCCCCCCCCCCCCTTCCCCTCCACCACGGGGGAGGTGAGTTCGTGAGTTCGTGAGACGCCCCCGGTCCAGGGGATCCTGTGGCGTAGATTTCGAGAGGGGCCACCATGTGCCCCATGCGGCGGTCGGCTTTTCGTCAGCCGGCTCCATCCCCTCCTCCTTCCCTCCTTCCACAAGCGTAGCCTCCCCCCCCCCCATTCCCCCCTCTGCCTCTGTCTCTCGTCCCTTTTTTGTCTCGCCCTCCCCTCCCCGGACTCCCCTCGGGCGATCGGGCTGCCCTCCCGCCCCCCTTCTCCCTCCTCCCTCCCCGGACGGCTGGCGTGGAAGGACGGCCACCAACACGCTCCCCCCCCCCCCCTCCCCCCCTCCCCTCTCCCTCTCCCTCCGGCAATAGCCAGCCGGCTCGGGTGAGGTAGGGCTCTCGATTTCGCACTTCCCTCTCGGTCCTTCTCTTCTTCCTCCCCCTCTCCGCTCTTCCTGCCCCCCCCCCCCTCCTGCCCTCTCTCTTGCCATGGGAAATACCATCAGCAAGGGGTCCGGCGGCGCGGCGGCCGACGCCGGGGCCCCCGGCGCCTCCTCCGGGGGCACGGTCCCCTCTTCCCCCCCCCGGAGCCGATCCTCCAGCCAGGCCAAGCGCGGCAAGGGTCTCGGTGGCCGTCGCCGGAATCGGCGTAGCGCCGCATCCGGCGGCGCGGCCGATCCCACCTCCGGCAGCTCCATGCCCCCGAAGCACCGGAACCCCGATGGACGTGGTGCTCCACCGGGCTTTGTCCCGTCGAAGGACGCCGAAGCCGCGGCTCCCCCACAGCGCCCGGAAACCGACGAGGAGCTTGACCGCCTCTTCGAGGCGATGATGGTCGACCGCGGCATGGATGCTCGGACCCTGGAGCAACTCCGCGCCTTGCCGGCCTCCAGCAAGTGGCCCATGCTGTCGCACGACTTGCGTGTGGTGCGCCCCCGCCCTGCCCCCCGCCCTGCCCCTGTTCTTTCTTCCCCCCCAGTGCGGCACACGCCTCTGCCGGCTCCCGCCATTTCCGAGCTATATGCCGCCGCGGCTT